CCTCCTCCCACCCACCTTCCTGCAAAAATGCTATCCCCTATTCCCAATTCCTTCGCCTCCGCCGCATCTGCTCCCAGGATGAGGCATTCCACTCCCGTACATCTCAGTTGTCCTCGTTTTTCAAGGACCGTAACTTCCCCTCCTCGGTGGTCGAGAACGCCCTCAACCGTGTCTCCCACATCTCCCGCACCTCATCCCTCACACCCCGTCCACGCAATAAAAACCAAAAAAGAATCCCCCTCGTCCTCACGTACCACCCCACCAACCTCCGGATCCAACGCATCATCCTCCGACACTTCCGCCATCTGCAATCCGACCCCACCACCAAAGACATCTTTCCCTCCCCACCTTTATCTGCTTTCCGGAGGGACAACTCTCTCCGTGACTCCCTTGTCCGCTCCACACTCCCCTCCAGCTCCACCACACCCGGCACTTTTCCCTGCAACCGCAGGAAGTGCTACACCTGCCCCCATACCTCCTCCCTCACCCCCATCCCAGGCCCCAAGAAGACTTTCCACATCAAGCAGATGTTCACCTGCACATCTGCCAATGTGGTATACTGCATCCGCTGTACCCGGTGTGGCTTCCTCTACATCGGGGAAACCAAGCGGAGACTCGGGGACCGCTTTGCAGAACACTTACGCTCGGTTCGCAACAAACAACTGCACCTCCCAGTCGCGAACCATTTCAACTCCCCCTCCCATTCCTCAGACGACATGTCCATCCTGGGCCTCCTGCAGTGCCACAACGATGCCACCCGAAGGTTGCAGGAACAGCAACTCATATTCCGCTTGGGAACCCTGCAGCCCAATGGTATCAATGTGGATTTCACAAGTTTCAAAATCTCCCCTCCCCCTACCGCATCCCAAAACCAGTCCAGCTCGTCCCTGCCTCCCTAACCTGTTCTTCCTCCCACCTATCCCCTCCTCCCACCTCAAGCCGCACCTCCATCTCCTACCGACCAACCTCATCCCGCCCCCTTGACCTGTCCGTCCTCCCTGGACTGACCTATCCCCTTCCTAACTCCCTACCTACACTCACCTTTCCTGGCCCCATCCCCGCCTCTTCGACCTGTTTGTTTCCTCTCCACCTATCCTCTCCTCTATCCCTCTTCTATCCGCCTCCCACTCTCTCCCTATTTATTTCAAAACCCCCTTCCCCTCCCCCATTTCTGATGAAGGGTCTAGGCCCGAAACGTCAGCCTCTCTGCTCCTATGATGCTGCTTGGCCTGCTGTGTTCATCCAGCCCTGCACCTTGTTGTCTCGGATTCTCCAGCATCTGCAGTTCCTACTATCTCCAAGTCAAAACTGTCTCTCCTCCGTGGTAGAGGATAGCCTTCTGTGGTAAAGAATTCCACAGATTCACCACCCTCTGAATGAAGAACATTCTGATTTGATTTGATTTGATTTATACTTTTATGTTCACTGTATCTCAGTACATGTGATAATGATAAATCAAATCAACTTCTCCTCATCTCAGTTGTAAATGGCCTACTTTAGAACCTGAGATTGTAACAGTGCTTTTGTTAGGGTTTTAAGCATCTGCATTTTGTTTTTAAAATCAACCTGTTTGGATGTGTTGTGACTCATCACCACACTCTGAGGTGTGACTAGAGCCTGGGCCTCCTTAACCAGAGGTAGGGATACCACCACTTTACCACAAGAGACTGTTTTGCGCTTAGTCCCTGCTTGTTATTTCCATAAATGTTTTAGATTGTTGCTATGACTTTCCAAAGCTCTCTCTCCTTTCCTTAATTGGTTCTTAAAGTGTTGGGAAGTATGTATTTAATTGGCCTGGAATGGGGCAGCAAGAGATAACCCCAGAGCACGGAACTGGAGTGCTCCCAGGGAGGGGCTGAGGCACTGATGAACTAGTTGGACTCCTTATACCAACAATTATGTATAATTTTTTGGGGAGTTTTAATTACTTGCAGCATGTATTTACATAGCACCTTCGCTGTATCCTTTTATCCTTCTCAGGTCTCACGTCTCCTCCTGTGACTGTAGGATTCTGGCTTCCTGACCAATTCCACTCCTCTCTTCTGCACCCTCTCTCTCTCTCCCTCATTGCAGCCCCTCCCCTGTCTCTAGCCTCACTTCGCCTCTACCCAGTCTTCAGCCCCCTTTCCACCTCCAACACTTGTTGCCTTTCTCCTGTCTCCATCTCTAGCTCAAGAGGACTTTCTCCAGATTCTACCATCAAACCCCCAGCCTCTAGTCTTTTCACTGCCTTCAGCATCTCTCCCTACGTCGTGGTCCCCCCTTGCTTCTGCCGAGTGTCAAGCCTTCTGTCCACTTCCAGCCCCTCCCACTCCCTCCTGCCCCATTACCCACCTGTCCAGTCTCCCATCTCCAAGTCCTTCCTCTCACCTGCAGGCCTATTTCCTAAACCTCTCAAGCTTTGTCACCAGTCCGTCCCCATTCACCCCCACCCCCACCGACTACAACGAGCAATACATTTATTACTGCAGTCGGAGGGATTTGAACACTGACAGTCACACTGGGATGTGGGTGTCATGTGGCCTGTCGTTGGGCCTCTGAGATTGTCTCGTATCACCCTAGCTCAGCCTTTGTTGCGCTTTTCTTTCAGAGAGGAAGAAGAAGCACCGGAGCGAGCAGATTGAGGATGAAATCAGGGAGCTCCGGGAGCAGCTGCAGGTCAGCCAATCCCAGCTACAGCTCGAGAGGGAGGCAGATACCCGCCGCCGCGGCCAGGTCAGTGGATCACAGCGTGGCACCCGTCGTACTGACACAAGTCCCTCTATCATACTAATGACCTGCCTGTGCAAAGCCAGCTAAACCTGCTAATACGTTTATTCTTACTCATCCACTGGGCCAGCAGTTATTGCCCCTTGAGAAGGTGGTGGTGAGCTGCCTTCTTGAACCGCTGCAGTCCTCCTGCTGTGGGTTGACCCACAATGCCCTTAGGGAGGGAATTCCAGGATTTTGACCTAGCGACAGTGAAGGAACGGTGATATATTCCCAAGTCAGGATGGTGAGTGGCTTGGAGTGGAACTTGGATGTTGCCATGTATCTGCTGCCCTTGTCCTTCTAGATGGAAGTGTTCGTGGGTTTGGAAGGTGCTGTCTGAGGATCTTTGGTGAATTTCTGCAGTGCATCTTGTAGATAGTACACACTGCTGCTACTGAGCGTCGGTGGTGGAGGGAGTGGATGCTTATGGATGTAGTGCCAATCAAGGGGGATGCTTTGTCCTGGATGGTGTCAAGCTTCTTGAGTGTTGTTGGGGCTGCACTCGTCCGGGCAAGTGGGGAATATTCCATCACACTCCTGACTTGTGCCTTGTAGATGGTGGACAGGCTTTGGGAAGACAGGAGGTAACTTACTTGCTGCAGTATTCCTCGCTTCTGACCTGCTGAGCAGGAGCTGCTTGATAGCACTGTTGATGACACCTTCCATCACTTTACTGATGATCGAGAGTAGACTGATGGGGCGGTAATTGGCCAGGTTGGATTTGTCCTGCTTTTTGTGTACACAGCATTCCTGGGCAATTTTCCATATTGTCGGATAGATGTAAGTATACTGGAACACAAGTCTTACATAGTATTACCAGAACATTGATTTCACTTGGAGCAGCATTCCCTATAAACTGTGTAACTGCACAGCGGCACAGCTGATCCAAGATCCTGCGCTTGTCCGAGTGTTGTAATCCATGTGCCGTGCCTTGACTTCCAGTTTTGGAAGTTGCTTGTGCAGTATTCTAAAAGTGGCCTGATCAATGTCCTGTACAGCTCCAACATGACGTCCCAACTCCTATACTCAGTGCACTGACCAATGAAGGCGAGCGTGCCAAGCGCTTTCTTCACCACCCTGTCTACCTGTGACTCCACTTCCACTTTCAAGGAACTGTGTACCTGCACTGCAAGGTCTCTCTGTTTGACAACACTCCCCAGGACTGTAGCATTAACTCCATAAGTCCTTCCCTGATTTGCCTTACAAAAATGTAACATCACATTTATCTAAATTAAACTCCATCTGCCACACAGCAGATGGATAAATCCATCCTCAGCCCATTGGTCCATTTGATCAGGGTCCAGTTGTACTCTGAGATAACCTTCTTTACTGTCCACTGTACTACCTATTGTGGTGCCATCTGCAAACTCACTCAGCATACCTCTTAACGTTCACATCTTCTGAACTAGGAACTGGAAAATTCTCGCAGGAGGGAGGAAGACGTAAGAAAGGAGTTTGAGAGCTGGAAGGAAGAAGAAAGAAAAAAGTTTTTCCAGGAAATGGAGCGCCTAAGACAGGAGCTCCTGGTGGAGTTTCAGGGTATTGCTGTGAAGAACCAGTCTATTGAAGCGGTGAGTGAAATATTTTAAGTTAATTCCTTTGGTTCACACTAAAATAGTGATTGTACCGCCTGGGGTACTGCTGCTCAAAGTCAGAAATGTAACATTGCGTGGGCTGCAAAAGGCCATTCAGTTCAGCTGACCCATTTTGATAGCCCATTTCTGATCTTTATGAGCAGCCTCTCAATCTATCTTATGTCACCTGATCAGTAAGATTCCTGTATTCCCTTCTCTGTCGTGTTTTTACGAATCCCACGTTTGTCATAACTCTATAACCACAAACAATGCAATTGTGCGATGGAATTAAGGAGAATAGATACCATTTCCCAAACGAAACATAACTTGAACAGACAACAAGACAGCCCAGTGCTCTACTTAGGAAAGAAACCTCATAAATAATATTTGGATGATTGAGAATTTCATGAACTCTGGCTTGAATACAAATGTCAGATTGCCATCGATCTTCTGTTGTTATTCTAAGGGGACAATCTGCATTTAGCAATGTGTTGTAATTATTTTCACACTGAAGTGTTCATAATTCTGCAATATGTTTATTGTTTTAATTTTCATGATTGTCTGTATGTTATGAATTATGATCGCTTATTTTATTTCCATTGCCATCACAACTTGGTACCTGCTGCCAAGAAGGTTATTTTTAACAAAAGCCAAAAGAACTGCGGATGCTGCAAATCGGGAACAAAAACAGAAGTTGCTGGAAAAGCTCAGCAGGTCTGGCAGCATCTGTGAAGGAGAAAACAGAGTTAACGTTTCGGGTCCGATGACCCTTCCTCAGGATACTCCATTGTTCCCTCTGTTCTTTTTGTCAGCCCTTTCTTTTACCCCCCTGTGCCGATCAGTGCCTGTGGGCCCCCCTACCATGCTGATCAGTGCCTGTTCTGTCACGACTTGTCCTGTGCTATCCATCTTGTTTAATATCTCCTGACCTACACAGACATTCTGTTTTGTTGCTTTTCTCCTCCATGCGCACATGCATTACCCTTTCCAAATAGCTCTGGGCTAACTTTAATCTGGTACATCTCCTTTTCTGCAGTTTTCCTGTGTACCTCAACATTGTTTGCCTCCTTCCACAAATGCTGGCTGACCCACTGAGTGTTCCAGCAGTATTTTCTGTTTCAGCAGCGTTTTGCTTTTGTATAAATAATTCACTGGGTTGTGGCATGGTTAAGAGTGCAGGAGGTTTACTGTCTCTCCCATTGACCAGAAGAGTTCAAAGTTGGATGTTATAATCATTAGAAACTGCAGGAGATTCAAGTGGGAACTCCAGTGCTGTCGACTGGGACGACATACCACACTGAGGATCACACGGAGGAGCTGAGAAACTGGAAGGAGAGATTTGAGAAGCTGGTAAGTGAAAACGCTGTGAACCATTCAGCGTGGGGACTGCAGCATTGCCTGGTGTCGTGGGATTTGTCTGGGTGGGGTGGTTGCGGGGAGCTCCATGAGCCGTGAAACCCAACAGGGTCTCACCATGCAGTCCCTGGGGCCTGGGCAAGAGCCAAAACGAACAGGAATTTTGTTGGACGTTCCAGGAAATCATGAAGTAAACACCTTCCCTTTTCAACCCAGCCCACGTTGACATGGTCTGTTAATGGACTATGCCTCTCACTTATACCTTAAGCCCTAATGCTCCTTCACATGTCTGTCCTGCTGTGTTCCCCACCTTATCCATTTCACCTCCCGAGTGAAAGCTCTCGATCAGCACTCTCTATCAGAGACCCCAAAGGTAATCAATGAAACGCCAGAATATTGATTGTTTGTCACGTTCTGGGTTGGCCATAGAATTCCACAAAAGTTACAGTGTGGAATGTACGATGTTTGATGGGAACAACATCAAGAGAGCTTTACTTTTGGTTAATTGTAGTTTCAAAGAGTTGAGGTAGCTTTACTCCGTGTTTGGCCTATGCTGACCATGTCCTAGGAGTGTTTGATGAGGATGGTGTTAAGAGAACTTTACTTTCAGTTCAACAGAGTAGAGTGGCTTTACTCTGTGTCAAACCCCTTACTGTACTGGTCCTGGGAGTGTTTGGTGGGCACAGTGTAGAGGAAGCTTTACTCTGTATCTAACCCTGTGCTGTACCTGCCCTGGGAGTGTTTGATGGAAATAGTATAGAGGAAGCTTTACTCTAGCTAACTCCATGCTGTCCCTGTCCTAGAAGTATTTGATGGGGACAGTGTAGCAGAAGGTTTACTAAAAGAGTAGAGGGAGCTTTACTTGCAGTTTGCTTTCAGTTGAAAAGAATAGAATGTACAACCAGGTGAATCAGGAACAGGAGTAGGCCATTCAGCCCCTTGAGCCTTCTCCTCCATTCAGTAAGGTCATGGCTGACTCTGGTTGTGACCTGATCTACATTTTGCCACCTCCCCCTCATAAGCTTTCCCCCCTTTGCTTAACACAAATCTATCTACCTTGACCTAAAAAATATTCAAAGACGCTGCTTCCTCCACCATTACAGGAACAGTGTTCCAACGACTCATGGCCCTCTGAGGGGAAAATTCTTTTGCCTTATCTCTGTTTTAAATGGGTGACCCACTTTTAAGACAATGACTCCCTCCTTCTCGTTTCATGAGGCAACATTCTCCCTGCATCTCCCCTGCCAAGGCCACTCAGAATCTTATGTTTCAATAAAGTCACCTCATTGAATCCCTACAGTGTGGAAGCAGGCCATTCGGCCTGTTGGGTCCACACTGACCCTCCGAGCAGCATACCACCCAGACCCACCCCTGCATTTCCCACGGCTAATCCACCTAGCCTGCACATCCCTGGACACTACGGGCCAATCCATCTAACTTGCACATCTTTGGGCTGTGGGAGGAAACCGGAGCACCCGGAGGAAACCCACGCAGACACGGGGAGAACATGCAAACTCCACACAGACAGTCGCCCGAGTGTAGGATTGAACGTGCGTCCCTGGCACTGTGAGACAGCAGTGCTAAGCACTGTGCCACCCTCTTCTAAACCCCAGCAGCTACAAGCCTGGCCTGACCAACCTTTCCTCTTAAGGCAACCATTTCTTCACAGGAGTGGGTGGCCTCTTTATTCCTTCTGTCAAAATGTGATACCTGCTCCCCCACCCCCCGCCCCCGTACAATGGAATGTCCTGCCAAGGTCTAGGCTCACCCATGAGCAATGATGACTTGGATGGGGCCTGCCAATGTACAGAGCACTGTGACTGCCTGGCGGGGGGTGGCATCTTTGGAGGCACAGGTGAACGAAGCTGTCTGGATCTTGTGTAGAGGTTCTCCTACTGAGCACCATTCCCTCAGCAACGAGGCCCCCATAGATTGGGGTGAATGTACATTTCCTGTGGCTTCCCACTGTCATGAAATTTTGCCCTGATGCCCGTTTGTCATGAGTGGTCCTCAGATTGATGCCTAAAACATGGTCTAGTGTCTGTATTGGCCGTCCAGCCTGTCTGACGCAGACCCCTCTCCCCTGTTAAGCTGAGATTTGAGGCAGGGGAAGGCAGTGGACTGTGTGCATTGGCCAAGCAGATCTGTCCTCCTGGACCTTAACCAAACGTGCTCGGCAGCAGAAATCTCCCCCGTGTCTGAAAGCTGCTGTGCCACCTGTGTCCCACATGATCCATCGCTGCCCCAGCATTTACATTGATCTGTCTGAACAGTTCTCAGCCTGTCTGTGAAGTCTTCTGTTTAATGAGAGAGGCTAACACGAGGGCACAGTTCCTTCAGTGGGAAGTGTTTTTCCCTCTCTCTTTTTATCTCTCTCAGTCTTCCCCTCACTCCATGTCTCTCTCTCTTGCTTTCATTCTCCCCCTACCCCCTCTCTCTGTCTCTCTCTCACTGTCTCTCTCTCTCTCTCTCTCTCTCTGTATCTCTCTTTCTCTATCTCTTTCCCTCTTTCTCTATTTATCTCTCTCCCTCTTTCTTTCTCTCCATATCTCTCTCCCTCTCTTTCTCTCTCCCTCTTACTCTTTATCTCGCTACCTCTGTCTCCTTCCCCCCACCTCCCTGTCAGCCCTCACTCCCACACTCCCCTTCCAAGGTAACCTTGCCACTCTGTGTTACATGAGCCTCTTCACAGTCTGGGTCAACAAGTGCGTGACTGGGGCCCTGATGTCTTGGGTACTGTTTGGGCTGCAGCTTCACAGTTTGCAGGTGGCACAGGTGCCAAGGTCACAGCTCCACCCCCCCCACCTCCCCAACACCCCCACCCCCACTCCCAGACCACTGGGTCAGGCTGGACCCTCCGTGCAAGCTACTGCCCTGACCCTTAACGAGAGTGTTTGTACCCGCACCCGCACTGAGCAGACCACCTGGTGGGATTGCTTGTTGCTCTGTTGTCATTCTAAGCTCTCGTTCAGGGTTCCATATAGAAATTTAGAAACATGGAAAATAGGAGCAGGAGTAGGCCACTCGGCCCTTCAAGCCTTGTCCATTCTCCATTATGATCATGGCTGAGCTCAGGACCATATTCCCACTTTCTCCCTTTGATCTCTTTGAACCCACAGCCTATCTCCAACTCCTTCTTGAAAACATTCAATGTTTTCTGCGGCAGAGAATTTCACAGGCTCACCCCACTCTCTGGGTGAAGAAATTTCACCTCATCTCGGTCCTAAATGGCCTACCTCGTATCCTTAGACTATGACCCCTGGCTCTGGACTCCCCGATCACTGAGAACATCTTTTCCACATTTACCCTGTCTAGTCCTGTGAGAAATTTATAGATTTCCATGAGAGCCCTTCGTCATCATCTCCTAAATTCTAGTGAATATAGAGTCATAGAGCTGTGCAGCATGGAAGCAGACTCTTTGGTCCAACTCATCCATGCTGACCGGATATCCTAAATTAATCTAGCCCCATTTACCAGCATTTGGTCCTTATCCCTCCGAACCTTTCCTATTCATGTCTCTATCCAAATGCCTTCTAAATGTTGTAATTGTACCAGCGCCTACCACTTCCTCTGGCAGCTCATTCCATACACACACCACCCTCTGTGTGAAAAAGTTGCCCCTTAGATCACTTTTAAATGTTTCTCCTATCTCCTTAAACCTATGCCCTCTGGTTTTGGATTCCCCTACCCTATAATCCTAACCAATCCAGTTTCTCTTCATTTGTCAGTCCTGCTATCCTTTTTAAAAACTGAAAGAACTGCGGACGCTGTAAATCAGGAACAAAAACAAAGTTGCTGGAAAAGCTCAGCAGGTCTGGCAGCATCTGTGAAGGAGAAAACAGAGGTAACGTTTCGGGTCCAGTGACCCTTCCTCAGA